CGGGTGGCTTCACCACCATTGCAGATGATATCTTAGATGCGGATGACTGGGCTATCTTAGCTCAATATATGAAGCTACTTGAGCCATGCTGGGCTGCAACAATGGATCTTCAAGGCTACGTTCAAGATGGCAAGTCCTCAAGTCTTGTGAACGTACTTAATGACATCGAGTTGATAGTGATCGAGCTATCTAATATGTATATTCAGTACAAAGATGCTCCGAAAACCTCACTCGAAGGCGAATGGCACTTTGCTACACAAATCCGGCTTGCCTTGGATAAGGCTGAGGCATATTATGCAAAGCTCGATGACACCACTGCGTACCTTGCAGCACTGGTATTGCATCCATCATATAACTGGCGCTTTGTGGAGCGACGATGGCACAAGCAAGTGAAGTGGCTGAAGGCAGGTAAGGCTAAATTAAAGGCCCTCTGGCAAGGTACATATAAGCACGTTGAGACATCAGTCGAATCACCTCAAAAACCAAGGCCATATGAGCCAAATATGATGGAGGCATATAGGCTGAAAACCCTCGCTGAGATTAAGGCACAAGCCTCAAAAGCACCAATTGGCCTTGATGAGTTCGAGCGGTACCTTATGCAGCCATTGGTTACCACTGATAAGCCGATTGAGTGGTGGTCCACCACTGGATGCATCGAATATCCATATCTGACCAAAATGGCATTGGATATGCTGTCAATACCTGCGATGAGCGATGAGCCTGAACGCTTGTTCAGCCGATTAGGTCATATGGTGACTAAGCACCGCAACCACCTGAAGCCTCAAACGATCCAAGCGACTCAATGCTTGCAATCATGGGCTAAGGCTAAGATTATAGATTTAAAGTAATAGCAATCCGAGCACTTCACCATCATAAATATTTTCTATTTTAAGTCATATGTGGCATAATCAACAGCCTCAGTAACGCCATAAAGGGCCTCAGGTGGATCAATCCGGATAATCCTAGTGGATTATCCAGATCCGCCAAGAGACCCACTTGGGAGTCGGATCGCTGATCCGATCCATCCAATCAGCACACTGACTCCGAAGTCGGTCTTCCGCTACACGCTCACCTCGTTTCTTGATATATTTCCGAACTGTATAATCTGCCCATCTTCCGCCAAAGAAAGTTCCCAGCAAGTATCCACAACCAGGAGCAATGTAGAACAGTCCGCTCTGCAAAGGACTGGTCAAATCAAATCGCGGGTTTAGTACGTACCGTATGGGTGTAAGCAACGAGTACATGTTCCACAGCAGTGCTGAGCTGGCCAAACTTGCGATCAGTAAGTTGGGGTACCTGAAGAGCCGAATAACGCGCAACGGATTCGTCCAGGCCCACAATTTCCGGGCGTACTGCTTTCTCGTAAGACCATTAAGCTCGTCACTGCGCTTTCTGTGGATGGTTTCGGGCAGTCCAAAGCAAACAAGAAGAGCGCCGACCCCAGCGAGTGCGGTTTGTAGCCAGAAAAGATCCCGCCATGGCCGGAATGTGACAATGATGCCCGAAATAAAAGGGCCAAAAGCTGGCCCAATAAGCGTGCCTGACAAAAACCATCCCAGCGCAGTTGCACGATCTACAGGTCGATATATGTCACCGATCACCGAGGCACCGATGATGAGAAACGAGGTTCCTTGAAAAGCGGTGAGGACGCGAAACACAAAGAACGAGGCAAGATTCGGAGCAAGAGCAGTGCCAATGGAGAAGGCTAGAAACAAGCTAGAAGCGAATATACTTGTCTGCAACTGTAGGGTAAGCTTCTTGGTCAAAGAGGGAAAAGCAGACATGTCAATGCTCACGATTCTTCGTCCATATACCTGCCCTAGAGGACCCCAGAAAACGGGACTGAAGCCCATGAAGACCAGATAGAGAGCGTTGCTCACGTTGATGACGCTGCCGCTGGTGGAATACGTGCTTGCCACTTCAGGCACAGCCGCCAATACAGAAGTAGACGAGATGGGCGCCAAAAATCCACAGAACGAGACCACAGCTACCATGACCATTTTTCTTTTATTTGAGAACTTGTCATAGATGTCATCTCCAGCCTCAGCGTACTTGTCTCCCGCAGGCGGCGACTCCGCAATTGCCGCCATGTCTTGGTGGCTGCTTATGTGGCTTTGGACAGCCTGAAGCTCCAATGACTGTGGTCTTTCTTGCTGGGCAGATATGTCGACGTTCTGTTTCTCAAGGTCACCCCCATCCCCTTTTGCTATTGAAGCCATGACCATGTCCACTTTGCTCGATGGCCTTGGCGATCACAGTTGTTTTTAAAAAAAATAAGGAATGAAAAGAGCACGCAGTCGAATTTTTGTACTAGAGGAAGACGTTCTACGTGCTAGGACGTCGCATTAATGGGAAGCAACTTGGTTCAACGCCAACCCGACGCAATTCGTACAAAAGAAGATGACGTGAAGATTTGCAGTCGACTGTTGTGACTCAAGTTGAGAGGATGCTGGCCCTCTGCAGATCGCCAGCTCAGAATTTTCCCACAATTGCGTCGCATCCTTCCGGTTGTATAGGTACCGAAGAGCCAGTCAAAAGGAGGGATATCGCCGAAACGGGCATATCGAAACGGAGTTATTTTTTGCGAGGCGATAACGGCTTCGGAGAGAGTCCGGTGGATATTTTTTGTTGGTGCCGATTAGCCGCAATTCAAAATGGGGTCAAGCCAGTTTCGCTATGCATGCACTTCCCCGAGAATCTAACCATTTGGCCATGAAGCAAACCAAATGTGGAATATGTTCCCTAGTGCAGGCAAATGGAAATGCGAAGATTTGGTTACTGATGAGACGTGATGCAGTTGGAAAGCCGAGCATTGAACTAGGGTGAACTGTCTGAACTCGGGTGAGGCTCCAGGCAATGACGCACGCTATCATCTCCAGTCCCATCCAATCCGTCTGGTGCTTCACTGACCATCACGGAGAATCAACTTTCAAAACTACATCAAAGGCCATTCTGTTGTCTTTTGACACTAATCTGAATTGGCGCATGTTACAGCAGTTTAACTTGTATGTCTGTTCAGAAGCCTTCAGTTGAACCAACGTTCCACAGTGCCATACAAAGCTTTCGCGGAAATGTATATCCTGCCTTTCCTAGCACCTCGTGAATACTGGCGTTACAAGCAAGAGGGAATATGGGCGGGGAAAAGTCAATAAAGGCAGAGGCCTGAAGAAAACATCTTACGTGATCTGCTCAACAGACAACTGGAGTCGCTCTCCATCTCGCATCAATCGGCCGAAATCGGCCAAGACCACTAGAACTAACGTTCTCCATTCATTGCAGTCGATGAAAATTTGGCCGAGAACTGCGATAGGTTAAAACTCAAGCCGAAATCTGGCTTCAGATATAGCGGTCACACTTCGGTCAAAAAAAAAATTGATGCGATGGCGAACATGGAAGGATGAGGCCTATTGCCTGCCATTCAAGTACTCAGAAAATGTTCTGGAGCGTAAAAACGTAGTTCCAAAGAATAAGAATTATGTCTAAGACAAAGGTAGCGATATTGGAGAGCCCGCGGCGAAACGAGGACTCAATTTTTTGAAGACCTCGCGCGAGATGGTTCTTTCGTACACGCGAAGCAATCAAAGTCTGAGACTCTGAGACTGACAACCGTCAATTGCATGATGAAGCGATTCTGGTGTACCCAGCCTCGAGGCAGTAGCCGAAAGTTCAAACATTGGCTTTTCTAGGCTTCAGAATTGCACCGATTGGTATCTAAAACGACGTAGAACCGGACTTTTTGAGGCCATTTAAGAAAGCACTGAGCGGCGTTGAACGGGACGGGCAGCTATCCCAGCTTAAATTCATCGCGGCTGCAAAAGTAGCTGGTGTCAGGCGCATCGTCCTTTCTAGATACATCACGATTTTCCCTCCGGGAGGGAGTGATGAAGAACAGAGCCAGAAGGAGGTACACAGGCACATCTTTATGCTTCATCTCCCCTACACCGTCATCGATACCGGCCTTTGGCACCAGCTATCATTCCCACGACTCCCGTCGAGAAAGGTTGATAAGGGCGCATCTTTGTGGAGATTATAACGTATTCGGAGGCGGCGATGAGCTGAACTTACTCACCGATTTACGCGACACCGGACGAGGTGTCTCTCGAATAATCAAAGATCTGCGGAGCTCGAACAAGAGAGTATTTCACTTTGTCTGACGAGCTCTCACAAAGGGAGATTCTGCAGCTTATGGACAAAGCTTTCCGGTGCAAATATTGAAGCTAAGACAATTTGCTAGGCGGAGCATTTGAAGTACTGTGGAGGCCGCCAGAACAGCTTAGCTCGTAAACCAACGGACGACCTTTAAAGTCAAAACCTATAGGTTGGCGGAGTACATTGTGACCAACTACATTCGAAAGGACACTATGCAGGAGATTGCATTGTTATCTGGGATATGTGGACGCATGTCAATTGTATCTCAATTTCAAGCCCAGCATTTTTCATGCGTCTCTAGAGGAACTGCTTCAAGATTGCTCAACCGTACCAGTCGAGGCTCGGCGAGACTCGTATCTCCTGCGGCGTCAAAATTGCCAAAGTAGACAGGGGGAGTCGTGCGAACGTGACACTCGACTTCTGAAAGAAGCTCCGATAGACGGAAAATAATCTGTAGAATTATACACTACTGGAATCTATATTTTGATATGCGCGTGATTTCAGCTAGCTTTGCTTGCTATATGAAAAAGAAAAAAAGACACCTGGTCTTTGCTCCGACGTGATGGTCTATATGTGAGCATCGGTGTCTTTCTCTCGGTTCAAGGTGACATTGTACGCAGCTACTGCATTCATTTCCTCATTTTCCTTCTTTTCACTGTGGCCCTGCGTTCTGATTGTCAGCCACGGCACCAACAGCAAGCTCAACCCGCACGCGGCCGTGGCAAACCAGAAAGTCGCCGAGTAAGGGGCTGCAGGATCACCGGCATGGAGGCCACTTTTTGGAGGATTTCGTTCCACGCTACTGAATAAGGCTGTCGTGACTCCGAGGCCTATTGTATTCACCAATCTGGTGGTCATTTGGAAGAAGCCGCCTGCTACGCTTTGTTGATCCTTGGGCAGGCTTGACATGACATACATATTCACGACATTGAACTGCAGGTCGACCCCAACAACGGAAAAAACTTGTCCCAGAAAGAGCATCGCCCAGAATGGATATCTTGTCGCGTTAAGCGCAAAGAGAAGATATGCGAGAGTGAATGCAGAAGCCGCTATGCCCATCAACAGCTTGTTGCTAATCCGATGCATAACAGCACCGGCAACAACGTTGACCATTAGGCCCGCAATGGCCATTGGGAGAAGATACACGGCCGTCATGATCGAGCTCGTCCGATAGACGCGTTGAATGTACAAGCTGAGCCAAAAGGCCGAGCTGCTGAATGACATAAATCCAAGGAGAAGAATGGCGAGCAGCAGGGAGAAGTTCCTGTCGCGGAAGATGTGCATATCTAACAGAGGAGTAGGGCAATACAACTCCCAGATGACGAAGGAGACCATGCAAATGACACCAACAACCAAGAGTGCAATTACGTAGCCAGTTTTCCATCCGTTCGCGACTTGGCTCCCGAGACTCAGGGCAGCAGAAAACGTACCCGTACCGACAATCGTAAGCAAGACACCCAGGAGGTCGAATCGTCCAAGAGTGTGCGTGTTGAAAGGCTGGCGAGGAACAGTGTCTCGTGGAATAGTAAATGCTGCAATGACGGTGAACAGGCAGTAGACCAGAGCGAGAAACCAAAACGACGCCCTCCAGCTGAAAATTTGACTCGCTATACCACCTGACAGCATGCCAAACACGAAGCCCAAAGGGTTTCCCGAGCTAAAGCAAGCAAATGCAGCGTTCTTTCTCCTACTGGGCTGGTCGTAGGCGGTGCTGAGCATTCCTTGAGCCGAGGGAACAGCGCCGGCAGACATGAGTCCGATAAACCCACAGAGAACGTCGAGTTGGACAGGCTTTCTCGCAAAGCCAGCACCGAGCGCAAGGATGGAAAACGTGAAGAGGCTGACGACGAACATGCTTCTCCGACCAAATAGATCGGCTAGCTTGCCAAAGAAGAGCAGAAAGCTGCCTGCCGCCAGGCTGGACGCGGCAGAGATCCACGTGATTTCGGCGTTCGTCATGTTGAGGTCGCGCCCGACAAAGGAGGTGATGACTGAAACGACGCCGGCCGTCATGCTGCTCAATGCGATTGCCATGGTGCATGTGATGACAAATAGAACCTCTTGTATCGTGGAGTCGAAGCAAGCGGGTCTCGCTCCCAGACGGCCAGAGCCCACCGAGGCCGTTCGGGGAGAGCTATCAGGAGATCGTTGGTTAACAACATCGCGCTCCAGCTTAGCGTCGATAGACTCACCCATGGCGGTTGTCTGGGCGGGGTAGGGTTTTATCTTGGAGAGTTATATGGAAAATCAGAAGAGAGACGTGAATCTCGTGGGCAAACTGGACTCCTGGTGGATTATGGACTCCTGGTGGATTATTGCCAGCTCGTGATTGATTACAATCACGGCGGCTCGGAAATTCCGCGACCGGAAAAGTGCCGCGCGATCATGATTGGTCCGATTGGATCTCGTCGTGGAGGACCGACGAATCTGCGGTCACCGCTGCGACTAGACCGTCGGGACCGCAATTTGGACTGGGACAGAAAACGAGAAAGAACGTGGATGTTCTGCGACGACAAGATGGCGTGGAATCGACCGCAGGTATGCGGCAGCGACCGTCCATGCATCTGGGGGACATCGTGAAGTCGAGTACTCACGATGCTTTTCCGTCATTCGAGGCCCTTCTGTTGTCTGTCCATCCTCTTGGTCCGGACTTGGTCGACTTTCTTTCTCGACTCGTCGCTCAAAGCTGTTTCCCGGTCGTACTGCCAAAAGTTGTCGTAGTCGCCTCTCGCTCGCTGTGCGCAAATCTCCTGCGCCCTCTTCATCCATCGCGGCTCAAACCGCCCCTCGATCAGATGCTCGTGGAAGCGGTGCAGGTGGTCTGCGATGTCGAAGTAGCCATCGCTCGTCATTGTCTCGACGGAGCCTGACTCCATCGCTGCATCGTGAGTCGTACGTGCAGCGGCCTGATCCGGCGTTGTGAAGTAATTCCTGTATTTGCCCGACTCGAGCTGTGTTGGATGGCCTTCGCCAAAGAACACGTGCACTTGGATGGAATCCAGCACATCTTTCTGCTGCTCGCTCGTGAGCGAGTCCCAGAGTTCAGAGTCGCTGAACAGCGCTGGCAATCTGGTCTTCGACAGCTTTCCAGATTTTGCGTGGATGAACTTCTGCGAGGGTTTCAGCACGCCGGCCTTGGACGGGACAGCCTTTGACGGTTGGCTTCGCTTGCGCGCCATCAAAGGCAAGTGAACCACGCGCGTGCGCAGCACAAAGAAAGGTAGAGAGGTCTGAGTTGGTTGGGTATGTCGTTCGTTGCAGCTTTGCGACCGCAGGTGAACGATCTAGCCAAAGGTGTACGATGACCTGGCATTTATTGCACAAGCGAGAAGAAGCGTTAGGCTCCAACGCCGTCACGGGAGCAGAGACGGCGAGCTTCCACGCCCGCTGTACAAGCTTAATTAGCCCGTCGACTCCGGAAGGCGAAGTGACAGCTGCATGATGAGGCCAGGCGGGACGACGATCGCTTGTCAATGGGCTTAGCCTGGCAGCGCAGGATTTCGGCACCTGCTCATGCACCTGCTGTCCGCGTTGGCCAAATGTGCACTGTATTTTCGAGCCTCGCAAGGCCGATCATGTCGCTCGACGGCTGTCAAATGAGGCACAGACTGACTGACTGTCTGACAACCGACGTTCCTGTTGGACGAAGCGTGCGGACGATGCTCGATTCGGAATGGCCACTTGGCTGCAACTGAACGCGCCCGCCGTTACGAAACGCGCAGTTGCTGATCTCCAGTCAACATGGCTGGTTGGACCACTTTGTAAATCCGCTTCTCTGCTCTTTGCCAAATTCTATTGCAAATGCCGCCCCATTTCCCTCAACTATTCACATGCCGCTGACATGATCTTGAGGCAGTCTTTCAACGGAGGCTCCTTCGTGCGCCTCTCCGCCTTTACCACTCTTCTGGTCATCGCTGCTTCTGCATTGGCCTCGGAGCCCTCCCCCTCTTTTGAGCGTGCCTCGAACCAATCCTTGCTATGGGGTCCGTATAGACCTAACCTATACTTTGGTGTGCGCCCACGCATCCCCGAGTCACTGACTATGGGATTGCTGTGGGCGAGAGTGGAAGACTACGTCTCTGTGCAGGACAATTTCCGCTACACCTGTGAACAGCATGACGGAATGGCAGGGTACGGCTGGGAGAAGTACGATCCTAGGCACGGAGGCGTCCAGACGATTCACGACGTTGGAAATGAGCTAGATCTTACCACGTATTTTTACAAAGATACCTCTGCTGGGGACAAGGGGGGTAATTGGGGAGCTCGAATCAAAGGTGTACCTCGTCCCGGTGCTAGCGAAAATCTTAAGTCCACAGTCATTTTTAACATCAACATGGATGGGCAGCCCGGCGTTTTTAACAATCTTGAGATTCAGAGAGACGTGGAGGAAGGCACCAGTTGGTTCCTGGGCGATGTTACCTTGAAAGGAGAAACCCCCAATCTGGGCTCTTTCAAGGTCAGCATCACGGGGGATCGTGTAAGCGGCATAAATAGACATCCTTTGCATGCACACCCGAGTGGTCAGCAGAAGAGTCTTGACAGAACTCTGGTAAACAGCAAAGTGTTGACACCGGAGACCCTATGGCAGTCGAAGCGTGAGCCAGGCCAGAACGAAAGGATTGAACAGACGTCATTTTGCTGACTCCTCCTAGCCCTCTTGTTCGCTCTCATGAAACAACAGATCGACGAATACATTGAGACGTACGGCCGAGACAACCTCCCTCCTCCATATCAACTATATACCTTGAAACCAGAACCTGGTCACGGCAACGTACATTTCGTGCAAAAGGTTTTCGAAGGCGAGTTCGAGTTTGACATACTCTTCTCTTCTGAAGCATCTGGTAAAGAACTCACCTCTGCCGCACTAACAGCCGGCATTGAGTCAGTCACGAAGTCGTTTGATAGACGCTTCGATGCGATCTTCAAGCCGCAAGCCCCCTTCACGGCTGACGAGTATTACAAATTTTCAAAGGCACTCTTTTCAAACTTATTAGGCGGCATCGGTTATTTTTACGGTGATTGGAAGGTAGATCGTAGTTATTCACCAGAGTATGAGGAGGAAAACGAGGGGTTCTGGGAGGAGGCTGCGGAGGCACGAGCTCGTGCTGGGTTTTCAATTGAAGGACCTAGTGAGCTATTCACTAGCATTCCCTCCCGGCCCTTTTTTCCTCGCGGATTTCTTTGGGATGAAGGCTTCCATCTCATGCCCATCCTAGATTGGGACGTAGAACTTACGCTTCAGATTGTGAAGAGTTGGTTCTCTCTCATGGATGACGACGGATGGATTGCGCGTGAGCAGATCCTTGGCCCCGAGGCACGCTCAAAGGTGCCAGAAGAATTCCAGGTTCAATATCCTCACTACGCGAACCCACCAACATTGTTCCTCATTCTCGCAGAATTCACGGACAAGCTCACCAACGGCGCCACGAAAGATGTCACAGATGCTGAGTACGCGCCCCAATTTCTAAACAAGGACATCGCCTCAGCATATCTTCGAGAGCTGTATCCTCTACTCAAACGTCACTATGAATGGTTTCGCCGCACGCAAAAGGGCGAAATTTCAGCGTATGACCGCAAAGCGGCCAACTCAAAAGAGGCTTACCGTTGGCGAGGAAGGACAGAGCGTCACTGCCTGACCTCGGGCCAAGATGACTTTCCTCGAGCTCAGCCACCACACCCTGGTGAACTGCACGTCGATGCGCTTGCTTGGGTCGGCGTTATGTCGTCATCTATGGAGAAGATCTCGAATTTCCTGGGAATGGATGAAGATGCTGAGCTTTTCAGAAAGCATTTAGGCGATGTAAAAGCGAACTTGCTTCAGTTGCATTGGTCAGAGAAGGCAGGCATCTTCTGCGACGCTACGATTGACGAATTTGAGGAACACGTTCACGTGTGTCACAATGGATACGTGACGTTACTTCCCTTCATGGTTGGGCTCTTGGACGAAGTCAAAGACGCGGCAAAGATTGCTTCCATACTCGAAATCTTGGCGGACCCTGAACAACTGTGGAGTGACCACGGCATCCGTAGTCTTAGTATCGCGGACGAACTATATGGCACCGAGGAAAATTACTGGAGGGGACCCGTTTGGATCAATCTGAATTATCTCCTCCTCAAGCGCCTGTACATGGTTGGAACTGCCAAGACCCCAAATTCTCCTCGAGCCGCAGAACTTTATAAGGAATTGCGACGCAATCTGGTCAGCACTGTTTACGAGAGCTGGAAAGAGACGGGCTTTGCATGGGAGCAATACAACCCGGAAACAGGAAAAGGCCAGCGCACCCAACATTTCACCGGCTGGACGAGCTTGATTGTCAAAGTGCTGCAGATGCCTGAAGAGGCAATCAGAAGCAGACCTCGGGACGAACTATAGATTTGACATGTTGGCTAGCTTTGTATGAAAGACTATGTAAGATAGCTGCATGTGCAGCTGGCGGAATCAACATCTCAATCATGAAGAATACGAGATGAACCAAAACACAATATTGCTAGATCACGCATATACGCTGAGGAATACCACATAGATACGGCTAATTGTCATCTCAGTGCTAAGCAGAAACAACCGCTAAAGTTTTTGCTATGAGTTTCCACGTGCCTCTTGCTTTTCAATGAAGTGTTTGACCTTACGAGAACGGCCCTAATTCGAGAATCTATGCGATTGTGTCTGCTAAATATCATCACAATGGAGGTCAAACGTGCTTGATTTTGACTCGATCTCCCCGACCGTCCATCTTGAAACAGAGCTCCATCTATGCAAAACTGTGCAGGCATCGTTGCAAAGCGGCAATAAATAGGAAGGTTCAAGCCACTAGACTTCCCTCTTGATTTCGGATAGCTGATAACATTCTGCGGAGGTAAGCCGCAGATGACCAAGCAGTAAATGCAAGAATAGTGACGGCCGTGCAGCTGGTTGCAGTGATTATATAAACGTACAGTGGTATATGGGAGTTATTGATCTCGCGGAGATTCATGCCGAAAAAAGACTTAGCATTATGTCAGCCCTGAACAATTACGTTCACACTTTACCAGTTAGTGGTACTTACACAGGCAAAAGTCAGCGGGAGATAAAAGAATGTTAACATAGAGACGCGATTAATGCTGACTGTGAGGGTTAAAGCATTCCTATTTTGTTCGACAGCGATCCGTGTGTCTTGGAGAGTTGTAAGGTTAAAGATCTTGATGAATTAATTAGTCATGCTTCGACTGGATTGAGTAAACTCACGAGACTAATAAGAACATTGGTCTGCTCCGTGAGCTCCTGCGCCCGTCTCATCTGGTCTTCTAACGTCCGGATTCGCTTAACTAAAAAGCCTTTAATGGCTGTCGATTTGTTCTGCACGAAGAAAGGGTGCGTTGAAATTTGATCAGCCGCGTCTCGAGCGCACAGAATTCGACGACGAACCTGCACCCACAGTGGGGCGATTTGATGCAGGTCTCGTGTAAGACTGACGATGGCATTGATGTCGTTTGCAGAAGCATCACGCAAGACTATTTCGTGGCTCTGTCGAAAAAGATTTGTCAGTTGAGCGGGTGGGAGCTTGGAGCTAAAAACAAACCATTGTTTGTAAGTATGTTTCCGCTTCTCCCAAGAATACGCCCCAAGAGAAAGCGACGAGGTAGAAGAGCTCATTGACTAGCTGGCTTAGTCCAGCATCTGACTGAATGTCTTGTATAAGACTTTCTTCGTAGCTACCAAGGAGACACCTGTATGCATTCAATATGGCCTTATCATCAGGGTCTAGCCAGCACATGGCATCAAAACTGTCATTGCAACCGGGTGCGGACTGTGTACAGATCATCGCAATTCGTGTAACATGCCAAGTGTGGCTACTGAGTCCTTTGGCAGTCCGGAAGCAAATACTGGGAGAATCAGGGACTCGTCGGGCTTCTGCAGGAACGTGGTTGTTAGGATACTTTTCCATGAATTGGAGACCAATAAACAGGTCTAGAGCAAAATCAGCATTTATTTGGCCTAAAACATATAACCAATCGATGAGGGAATGCAGCTCACATTTAGCGCATGTTGGGCCGGTGCTAAGCATGGCATAAGGGAAGTTGAAGAAGCGAGGGGTCAAGTCGAGATAATATCCGAGCATTTGCAAAACTTCGGCTGAGATTTCAGTAGCAATGCTTTATAGCACTTTATTAACATTTCATAAAGATAGGCATATATGAACTCGAACATAAGACGTACTAAAGAGTGCTCCGGACTGTGGCATCTTTCTGCATGCAGTTGTTAGTTCTCGATAAATTTGACTAACTGCATCGTAAATGGTCACTGACCGGTATCTTCAGAGAAGCTAGCAGATCGTCTTTTCGGCGGAATATCGCCTTCTGGTTCCATCCAAATTTCACTCTCTGATCGTTTCCACTGTTGAAATCATAAACCTCAATATAGCAGACATCATCACTATGCTGTGAGAGATAGAGCTCTAATTGATTATATGCTTGTCCCTTATGCTGGAGTATCCAAGGCCAGCGCAGGTGTTTGGGTTTGTCCTCGGACAAGTCAGGAGTACGGCGAATATCATAGTCTGTAAGCAGATTTGAGCCTGAGGAATCTTTGGGCATGAACCACGCGCCAATTGATGCCATTCTGGTGTGTAATGGTCAATTCAGGGTATATGAGAGAACAATTAGATGCCACCGAGATTTACACCTAGGTTACTAGGACAGCTCTGCTGACAATCGTGTTAGAAGAATATCTGGATATCACGGTAGTGTATGAATGCCGAATCCAATGCTAGAGAATAGTCAAGTCTAGTAGATGACCTGAAAAATGGGTGCTAGATCATGATAACTATAGTCACATGATGGAAGCCTTAGCATAGCTCTAATCTAGATAAGGCTGGTGGCGCATAGATGCTATTATTAAATTGGAATCGGGTATTAGTCATTGTAAGAAATGGGGCGTAGAAGCATGGAATAGGCGTGTGTTGGTGTATCATGATTCGTAAGCTAATGGGCCGCCTAACCGATTGTGTGAGGACAACTCACCAGGAGCAGAATTTCACAGATATGGAAAACAAGTATGACTGAAAGTTATTAGTACACAGGACGTTTTTGGTTTTCCTCCTAAGCTTTTTTTTTAAAAAACAAAATTCCTAGTCAATTTCGGCTAAGCATTTTATATGACTATGCCCTGCGAGAGACAACATAACTTAGCTTAGTATAAAACGCCTCACACAGGAAGACCGGGGGGTGGGCCGGAATAGCACTGGAGCCTCAACCGCCAGAAAAAGAGCCAACTCCGGGTTTGTGCTGGAGCCGTAGTATATAAGTCAGAAAGCTTAGGGAGGTTTCTCTCCCCAGCAATCACTTTGAACTTATAATCTTGTACTCCTGTTTTGCACCCTTGCCCCATCATTTAATCCCAATCTTTCACACCTAGACTCGTTAAATTCTTGAAATCGAAGGGCTAGGGTCATAATGCGCTCGGCTAGGGAGAGACGCGTTTTATAGGTAGGTAAGCAACTGGTCAGCTATACTACACCTAAAGCGTGCCATTCTGCTAAATCATATATAAACACTGTAAGGATAATAGTATATGAATTAAGTTAGGGTCAAAAGATGAAATCACGTGGGCAGAAACTTTAAGTTATATAATGTTCCATCTTGTATTTTACGCATACCTATTTACTTAGCTTGTCTACTCGGCTTTCAGCATTACTCATTAAATAAGCATACCATCTAAGTTACTCTTGATAGCACACGTACTTTACACGTCCTTCACAGACTACTTGCATATAATAATGTTCATTTCAGCTAAGTAACATTTAAGAATGTTACGACTGTGCAAGGAAAATTAGGCTAGACGGCGGGCAAAGGAGGCAAACAGGATACATTGCAGAGTGATCGCTGAGGAATGGAGATTCCCCTGAGCTACACAGTATACCATAAACGTCTATGGAGTGTGGCGGCACTAGTGCTGGTGTACTGCCTTGGCATCCCTTGGTCTTGGACCTGGACCTGATATGATATCTCTTGCAAAAAGTATCATTAAACAGTCCTGTATCAACATCCTATATCACGATTTACCCAACCATTTACCAGCTAATACTAATATTCTTTATACTCTATGATATATTAATTCAAGCCACACACTTTTCTCAATGGAATATATGTCTCTCGGTATCCTAGTTCACAAGTAGAATGAAGTAGAACTGTAAGGTCAAAATCTTTTGTTCTACTCTTTCCGCATATCCGTGGAGTGTGTCGGAGTTACTTAATGTGTTAATGAAATCTCCACGGAATGCTTCTATAAAGCTTACCCCGCAATCAATAGTACATCATCGGGTCCAGGGTTCTGGTAACGCAGACTTCAATTGATCACTTTACCGCTTTTACTCTCGGTTACTCTATTAGTGCCTTCTACTAGCTATAGTTCCAACTACTGCCGTTGTGCCCCAACATTGGATTCGTGTCGCACCATAGACTATCGCGTAATTGAGGGGACGTTCTGGCTACACGATGACGTCCTGACAATTTTACGATCGTCTCGCAATAGGATGATCTACTGACTACATAATGACGTTTTGTAGAACCTCTCTCAACATTGCCAACTATAAGAGACGCCAAGTCGTATCGTCGATACCGTCAATTTGAGGCAATATCTGCTTTAAGTTCCTGCTGCAGCAATTCAAATTATCTGCCATATTCCCTTGACGATCTGTGCGAGTTTCTACTTTCAACTATGCCCCAAGATCTGTGGACTATTTTCGTAACTGATCATCCTGGCTCAACAGCACGAGAAATTGAACTCGAGCCAGCATGGCAAAGCGGCCATGAACATCGAGTAGGATACAGAAATCGACAAGATCGAATTCCTGGCTTGACGCACAGCGGTGAAGATGAAATTACCAGTGAGGAAACCAAAGCGCTTAAGGAATTTAGAAATCTTCAAGAGCGAGAACGGAGAGGTGATTTAGTGAACTTTAGGGACATCATTCAACACCAACCTGTATGCGTCCCCAGAAATAGTAAATCGGGCTAATAGTCAATTTCCGCCAGGATTTTCATCTTCGCCATCCTGAAAATCGATCTGTTGGATGGCGGTATGTCGCTGAGACCACTGAGGACCATATCAGAAATGCAAAGAACTGGCCTGCGAATATAAAGAAATATAAGCAAAGCAAAGCTAAAAGAAAAGATTACGACGCAAATTCGACTGATGATCGAAATAAAAAAAATACTGAATATAACAAGAGCGGGTATCATAATGACGAAGGTTCACAACAGGATGATGATACAGGTTCCAAGGCGTCATCTAACTTTGCGAAGGATCAGAAGGAGAGGCAGGAATATGCGCCAAGCCATGATAGTGATCTCAAGAAATACTCAATGCGGGAAAAAAAATTTTTAATTGCTCTACAACAGGAGAAAGATTACATCAGGTCCTTAGGAGTCAACAGTGGCAACCGCAGGTCACCTCAAACGCAGAATCGTACAACCATCACTATTGACGAAGTTGACCAATTCACTCCCGATAATTGGATACCTCGATCATCCGACCTCATTCGCTTGACAGGAAAGCACCCGCTCAATGCTGAGGCGCACCTTACTCATC